TGCAAATGTCAGCGAACAAGTGTCAGAATGAAAGCGCGAAGGCTTTTGTGCTGCTGAAAAGCAATCTGCAGTTTGGTTTTCGTTATCGTATCAGATCATTCCAAAAATAATTAAATTTAATGGCACATGAAAATCAATATATAGTTCCTGTATGTTTATGTTTTTATATACAAAAAGAATAAATATATAAAGCATCATTATATCAATTATATTTTGAAATGAATATTAAAGACATTAAATAAGCAAATCTCAAAATACCCAGGAGGCACAGGACGCAAGATGGCATGAGATTGACGTTGTAACCCATGTTGCATTTTGTTCGGAACTAAAAAATTAGGTTTATGTTAGAGCCCAATGTCAGGCTGACGTCAATGTCCAAAGACCAACCTAAAATCAACCAAATATCAAATGATGTTACAGCTTGACGTTACCAATATGACGTCTTTTAGACGTTGGGTTTTGGTTGCTGTACCTGACGAATAAATGTCAGTATTTGACATCAATATTGACGTTGGTTTAACATGTTGGCTTGACGTTAGATTTTGGTCACTTTCCAACAAAACCTTAAATCAACCAGATATCAACGACATTTGATGCTGTTATTGGACGTCAAAATAACGTTGACACTAGCTAGACATTGAATTTTGGTCACCTGACATCACAACCTAAATTTAAACTAATAAAAAATGTCATGACGTTGTGTGCCTGCTGGGTACATATACAATTTTATTCTTCGCCACAGGTTGTCTAATTTTATTTAAACCATTTAAAATTAATTTCATTTAGTTAAAATTAAAGTGTTTTATTTATTTTTCACTGATTCAAATTGTTTAAAATATGGATGAGAATTTTAATGACTCCTTCCTTTTCTCTTACCATCCACAGGATCTTTGTAAACATGGACGACAACATCATTGAGCATTACAGCAACCACTCTGCCTTCCTCATAGAGATCAGTGAAGTCATCGTTAACCACTACCAGGTCACACTTATGGAGTTATAGATGACATCATCTACTAACGACACCTGGTGCTGCTGGCAGCCTCTCCATCAAAAAAGCAGGACAGCGAGCCACTTTGCTACAGCCTGCCAGCTATAACATTTTCCCTGATATCACTGCTGACCTGTGTAAATATCATTTACCTCGTTTGTACCTTTTTATTATTTTATCAACAATTATTTTATAACGCGAGCAATTACGATCAATAAGGTACATGATCTCTGTAAATATTGTAAATAGACGTAATTATGATAATGTCGCGTGATGATATGGTTTTAAAAGAGTAATATGTTATTATTTCAATGATGAACTTGCCTTTTTTTTTGGAGCTGACTCTTTGCTGCTTATGATAGGCCCATCATTTCCAGGACAGGATGTGACGCGTTCGTATCGCTTTTTGCTCTGATGGTGGTTTGCATGTTTATCAGTCTTGCCATGTGTTACTTCAGCATACTTCCAGTCAGGGTGCTGTAACTATCAGCCTTTTAGTTTCACATCTAAAACACTCCACAGACACAAGAGTATTTTAGACTTTAAAGTCGCACATTTCCACCCTCAAAGAGCCGCATGTCTGTCAGTGTTTCGATACACATTTTAAAAACTGGCTCCACGCATTTCGAATCTGTGTGGCTGTAACGGTTGTCAGGACAACCAGTCCCTTTGTCCTCCAACATTTAGACGAAAAAAGTTCGGATGAACCACTGCAACATCGAACTTGCCCCAATATCAGCTGAAATAATGGTGACTTTTCATTGTGTGTGTTTTGCTTCACAAAACTTGTACATTTCAAATGCTTTGTATTGCTGTCAAACAATATTGATATACTAAAGCTGTGTTTTCCCTTTTTTACTGCCTCTGCTTTTGTAAGGAAAATAAAAACAAAATTACTTGACATATTCGGGTGTTATAGTCATTTGTTTTGAAGAATATTTCTTGCTGGAAAAGTCATCCAAAAATTGCTGCAGGAGAACTTTAAAGAAGATCTTCAGCTGAAAGGAGGGTCTTTGTTGCATAATGAAATGCAAGTTGACAGCTACTGGCACTATATATATAGGGCTTTGTCAAAATTGTCTTTATGAAAAGTGAGTACATTACATAGGTTTCCATTAATTTCATACTGTTCAAACCGTATATTGTATTGCCCTGACCCTCCCTACCCCTGAACCCAATCATCACAGGAGACTGTGTGCAGCTTTACTCTCTGATTAAACTCATTCTGTGGGATTTGTAAGCTATTTGAGAAATGAGGACGTCCCCAATATCCTCATATTTCACCTCCTTTTTGTAATACCTGTGCCATACCTGTCATTTTACAGATTTGTGTCCTGATGTCACAAAAACATGTACACGCACACACACACACACACACACACACACACACACACACACACACACACACACACACACACACACACACACACACACACACACACACACACACACACACACACACACACACACACACACACACACAGACGCACAGACACACAGACACAGACCTTCTTCCTGTAAGGTGATATATGTATATATATATAAAAGCTGGGTCAGTTGGCATTTCTGTGTGGAGTTTGCATGTTCTCCCTGTGTTGGTATAAGTTTCCTCCGGGTGCTCCGGTTTCCCACACAGTCCAAAGACCTGCAGTATATGTGAAATGAATAGACCGAATTGGCTGTAGTGTATGTGTGTGTGTGTGAGAGTGTATGGGTGTTTCCCAATCCTGGATTGGGAGGGCATTCGCTGTGTAAAAGATATGTTGGATAAATTGGCGGTTCATTCCACTGTGGCGACCCCTGATCAATAAAGCAACTAAGCCAAAGGAAAATGAATGAATAAATAAAAAACTAAATTAATCCCGGTGTGCCCTGATGTTTCTTTAACTGACCTGAACATCCCACAAGTTTGCTTTTGCATTTGTGACAGAAAGCCTGTAAAGATTATAATGTTGTAAATAATGTTTAGTTTCTTGTTCAGTCACAGACATCATTTCACTTCACGAGATCTCAATGGATCAATAGGAGCAGAAGATATTCGTTTTGTTTTGCCTGTTTGTTTTTGACTCTCCTTTTAGTGGTTTACCCAAAAATGAAAATTATGTCATCATTTACTCTCTCTTTCTCTCTCTTATGTGGTTTTAAAACCAGTTTCTTTCTTCTGAAAATCAGTTTCTTTTTGTCGTTTAAGAAGAATTTTTTAAAAATGCTGGTTGCTGGATCAACTTCCATAGTAGGAAAAAATAAACCAAAACCAAAAATATATATACTTCTTTTGAGTTCAACATAAGAAAGAAACACAAATATGACTTGAACAAGTGAAGGGTAAATAAATAATGACAGAATTTTAATTTTGGATGAACTATTCTTTTAAGCTGTGTGGGTCACATTAGGTCATGGTCATGCATTTAGTAACTGCCCAATTATTAATAGTGAAGTCAGAAATATGATAAATACAGGCTACTGAATTTAGTGTAACTGGTGGGCATAAGTTCATTGATTAATTAATTAATTTTCCTTCTGCTTAGTCCCTTATTTTTTAGGGGTTGCCACAGCGGAATGGACAAACAACTATTCTGGCATATGTTTTTACGCAGCAGATGCCCTTCCGGCTGCAACCCAGTATTGGGAAACACCCATTCACTCTCACATTTATGCATGCACTCATACACTACTGCCAATTTTTTTTTACTAAATGCACCTATCGCGCATGTCTTTGGACAGAGGGTTTTTTGAACATTTTTGCTGTTTGTTCAAACTCTTCATTTAAAACGAGTTGAAACAACACAATTATTAAGTTTTCTTGGAGGGACAACTTAATTTTTTATGTTAAGTCCACTTAAATTAGCAAAAACTATTAAGTTAACTTAACTGATTTGTGTTGACAACATGAAGGAACTGAGTGTAACGCAGCATTTTACAGTTTTTTTTACAGTGTGAGCTCTGTATGCTGGGTTACACACAGTTCCTTCATGTTGTCAACACAAATCAGTTATGTTAACTTAATCATTTAAAACAATTAAGTAGTGCCAAAAAAATCCTAAATAGTTGTGTTGGTTCAATTCATTTTTAAAAAGGCTGTTTTAACAAACAGGAAAAATTATTATTTTAAGTGTGTGTCAAAGGTCACGGGTAGATTAGATTTGATTCAACTTTATTGTCATTACACATGTACAAGTACAATGCAACGAAATGCAGTTTAGGTCTAACCGGCAGTGCAATAGCAGCAAGTGCAGGATACAGGTATAAGTTATAAAGTGCAGTGATAGAAAAACTATGGTAATATTTACAGATGGATGTTCTATCAACATTATATACAGGTTGTATTAGCTATGAACAGAGATTTACAATAGATGAATATATCTACAGGTTGCTATTAATAATCAGAATTATGCAGATTAACAGCAGTGTTCTCATCATAGCACTATGTTGTGCATAACAGATTAATACAGGTGCCGAAAACATATAAACAAGGATATAATTGTTTGTGAGCAATAGAGAAATTCCTGGTGCTGTTTTGTCTTGTTTACATATTTCTTCACAGCTCTTTGCGACTAATAAAAATGCCATATAAACCATATTAAAAATTATTTAGTATCTGTAGGTTCAGTATTGGGCGACATGGTGGCTCAGTGGTTAGCATCGTTGCCTCACAGCAAGAAGTTCACTGGTATTGGCATTTCTGTGTGAAGTTTGCATGTTCTCCCCATGTTGCATGGGTTTCCTCCGGGTGCTCCAGTTTCACCCACAGTCCAAAGACATGCGCTATAGGTTAATTAGGTAAGCCAAATTTTCCGTAGTGTATGTGTGTATGTCCTGGTCCTCCAGGTTGAGTGTTGAGCGTTGGGCTAATGACCCACCTCATAAAAACTAGATATTATGAAACACCAACATGGTGTGGCTAAATATAAACTTCGATATAAATAGGAGCAAGTAAGGTTCAAATTAAAAAAATTAAAATGAACCTGGAGTAAATGTATAATCTTTAATGTATACATCATTTCTTCCATCGAAAAAAACAAAACAAAAACAAAAAAGAGAAGGTTAACTCATTTCAAAACATGGACTAAATACTATCAAAGACATTAGAGGTCAAATGCATGTTTGTTCAGCAGTCAGACTCCCTCTGAAGGTGAAAGTGACTGTACATCTACTGATTGTCTTTTTGTTGTTGTTTTTTTTTGCAACAATATGGCCAAGATTAATAAAAGAGGCTGCGTTCTTAAAATCCTCATTCTTTTCTTTTCATGTTTTCATGTCTATGTTTTTTTTTTCCTTTGATTAGATCATCTGGTTCAGCAGCCAGTCTGCATATTGCAGTCAGAACACGTTGGACTTGCTGTTTGTTCTGGTGCTCTGGTGCGTCTGTCTGTGTGTGCGTGTTAGAAAGAAGGACGGGGGTGTACGGAAAGCCTCATACACAAGACTAGAGAGAATCAGTAAGCGGGGGAGAGAGAAAAGACAGAAAGCGGAAGGATCTTTCTCAGAATTAACAAAAAATCAGCAGCTGAATGATCCCTCAGTCTTCTCCGGAGAGGTGAGTGCATGACTTCTTTCTTACATCTGATTCACATTTTTGTGAGGCAAACACATAATCAGCTGAGCATGTATGTTGGTTTTCTCTCTACTGTGTTGATCAAGTCTCATCTTCTTGCTCCTACTCACTGATGGATTCTTACAAATAATTTTGGAAAAGCTAAAACTCGGCAAATGCTTACGATCAGAACGTCATGCTGTTTTTCCAGATATTTAATAACTAGTATAGCTTAAAGACAGATGTCAAAAGTGGCAGGTGCTTTCAGAATGTCAGTAGCCACATTTTTGTTGGTGTGGCAGGTTATGTAGTATGCTCTTATTAACACACTGGTGTCAATGCGTCCTCTTAAATGTTTGTTTTTGGGTTGCCATGCAACACTAGTTACTAGAGCAGGAAATCGATTGAGATGTAATTTAAAAACATGCTTTGATTGACCAATATGTTAAAACATCTGCCCACATCTGTGTCTAGGAGATACATCTGATGGTGATATTGTCAAGATGTTGTTTAACGATTAATTAGATAAAGAAAATGCTCTGCAAGAAAGAGAGGGCACACGTACTAAAAATATCCACTTTTAATAGCATCGCGTCATTCACGCTTTCTCATTTGTGATTTATGTGTGGAACAGGCATGGGCTTGCTCTCTGAGCACCCAGCCGTCTGACTTGCCGTCTACATATAATATCTCCGGTTTAAAATGTGTTCACAGTCTCAGCTTGTAGGACAACACCACCACACATTTGCGTCAGAAAGGCGATGCTCAGTCTAACACCTGTGGCTGGTATTTTAAGAACTGTTTCAGATGTACCACAAAAGATGCAGCTGTACCATCATCCAGGTTACTGTCTCTTAGCAACAGCGGGCCATTCACCTCCACTCTGCTTGTTGCCAGGAGCGACGATGTTTCTTAGAGCTCAAAGGAGAGCCGTCAGCTAACAAGCCGTGTTATTCTCTTCCAGATCTGTAAAAAGCAGGAGAATATTTTTATTTATGAGTGTCTTCTAGAATCTGTAACCAGTGTTCATTTTGTTGACGAAAATTTTCGTCATAATTTTCGGGATGAAGTGTCTAGCAACAAAAACTAGACGAAAACGAAATAAAAATGAGGTGATGACGACAACTATAATAAATATACAGACATTTCCGTTGACTAATACAAACGAAACGAGAATGCGATTGAAGCATTGAAGATTGATTAATCTTGGTGTGTGATGCATGACACACACGCACATTTGAAAAGCAACTGATCCACAGTAGACACGGGATACTAGATCATTACTCTACTTATTTAATCAGTGCTATAGCTGAGCACCATGTCTTATAACACCAACTATAACAGTACAGCTTGGTACAGATCAGTGTTTCTCAACCACGTTCTTGAAGGACCACCAGCTCTGCACATTTTCCATCTCTCCCTAACCAAACACGCTTGATCATCAGCTCATTAGCAGAGACTGAAAGACCTGTGACCTGTGGGTGTGACAGATTAAGGAGACATCCAAAACTTGCATTTGTGGTGGGCCTCAGGAGCATGGTTAAGAAACACTAGTATAGGCTGACATTGCAATGTGGACTATTTTAAGCCCATTGAAAGATAAAATGGCTTGAAACTGTTCGATAGACTGGTCAAAAAGACTAGTAGTTTATCACGTTAAAAAAAAGGGTTTGCTAAATAATTGCACACTCCTGCATTTTTAGATGGCTGCTGTTCTTACATGTGGATTAATTGCTGTCACAGATTCAAAATCATTTTTTTCAACTTTTTTTTTGTTACAACGTTATTCCAAAATGGATTAAATTAATTTATTTCCTTAAAATTCTACTGATAATACCTTTTAATGACATTGTGAAAAAAGATTTTTTGAAATTTTTGCAAATTTATTAAAAATAAAAAACCTCTACACAAGTATTCACAGCCTTTGGTGTGAAGCTCTAAATTGAGCTCAGGTACAGTCTGTTTCCACTGATCATTCTTGAGATGTTTCATTAGCTTAATTGGAGTTCTCTTGTGGTAAATTCAGTTGATTGGACATGATTTGAAAAAGCATACACCTGTCTACAGTATATAAGGTCTCAGGGTTGACAGTGCATGGCAAAGCACAAACCATCACCAGGCTAATACCATCCCAACAGTAAAGCATGGTGGTGGCAGCATCATGCTGTGGGGATGTTTTCCAGCAGCAGGAACTGGAAGACTAGTCAAGATAGAGGGAAAGATGAATGCAGCAGTGTACAGAGAAATCCTGAATGAAAACCTGCTTCAGAGTGCTCTTGACCTCCGACTGGGGCGATGGTTCATGTTACAGCAAAACAATGACCCAAAGCACACCACCAAAATATCAATGGAGTGGCTTCACAACAACTCGGTGAATGTTCTTGATTGGCCCAGCCAGAGCCCAGACCTAAATCTCTGGAGAGATCTGAAAACGTATGTACAACTTCCCTTCCCATCCATCCTGATTGAGCTTGAGAGGTACTGCAAAGAGGAATGGGCATAAATTCCCAAAGTCAGGCGTGCCATGTTTATGGCATCTTTTTCAAAAAGACTTGAGGCTGTAATTGCTGCCAAAGGTGCATCAACAAAGTACTGAGCAAAAGCTGCGAATACTGATGTACATTTCATTTTTCAGGATTTTATTTTTAATAAATTTGCAACAATTTAAAAAAATATTTGTTCACATTATCATTATGGGGTATTGTGTGTAGAATTTTGAGGAAATAAATTAATTGAATCCATATTGGAAAAAGGCTGTAACATTAAAACATTTGCAAAAAGTGAAGCGCTATGAATACTTTCCGGACGCACTTTATTATATAAATAAATAATGCATATCTATGTTTTTTCAGCAATGGAAAAGCTGTTCTATATTCTAATAAGACTTAGAATATTTTATAATATTTATTATATTAGTTTGAATATTTTGTATAAATAATTGTAAACAATAATTTAATTAAATTTCACGTAAATTAAACCAAATATATTTGTAGTACATCTATTTGACTAAAATCTTATAAAATTCAATTCAAAGTCAAAAGATTAAGACTAAAACTAAATCAAAATTTGCTGTCATAATCAACACTGTCTGTAACTGAATCTGATTTATTACTCACCAGGTTGTTAACAGTGGTTTCATCTTGAAGAGATCCCCATTGACGAGATGCACACTCCAGCATCCATGCTGATGGGGGTGGTGTTCGCCCCTCTAGGCCTCGTGCTGGTGTTCACTGCTGCCATCACGCCACAGTGGAGAGAAGGTCAGGCGCGGCTGGGTGCTGCTGGAAAGGGCGGGGCAACAGAGCTCCTCCTACTCCGCTCAGATGGCCTATGGGAGAGCTGCCTGCAGGTGGTGCACTCTGAGGTCAAAGAATGCTGGCCTGTGTCAGGGTCCTACCAGCGGGACTCTCGGGTCCGGATGGTCCAGGGCATGGTACTGTCGTCTCTCTTCCTTTGCGGAGCAGGGATCGTGCTCGCCAGCATTGGTGTCCGTTGCTGGACTGATATCCCGCTGAGGAGTGTAGCGGCAGCTGGTGGCCTGTTGGTGGCGCTGGCTGGTGTGCTCAGCCTGGCTGCATTAGGAGTGTACACTCGCCATCTTTCCAAGCTGGGGATTGATGTGGATTCAAATTTATCAGAGACGCAAGGACTTAATGCGCACAAGCCACCCCGACTAACTCTACACCCAGCTGGATCGCTGTACTTCGGGTGGGTGGGAGCTTGTGTACAGGTGCTGGGAGGGATTGCACTGCTCTACGGGTTCAAAGACATGAAGTGTTCATTCTGCCGCAAACAGAGACTCAAGGACAGTACAGAGATGTATGCGGTGAACTGTTAGATGGACCAAACATTTCAGAGGACTCAAGAGACTCTTAGGGGGCTTTCATGCTAGAATATTTGTGTCAAGAGTTTGGATCAGGGTTGTCCAAAGTTGGTCCTGGAGGGTGCCTGCCTGTCCTGCAGACTTTAGCTCCAACACACCTGTATTGAAGGTACTACTAAGCCCAGCAAGACCTTGATTAGCTGCTTCACCTTATTCTTCATGTACAAGTGGGCACAGCCATTTGAATCTTTTTGGCTCGAGACTTCCTGTCTCATTCAGTTCCATTCAATTTCAGACGTTAAAGCTTGTTATGCTGCTTGATGTTGCAAACTGACATTTTCTTATTATATTATTCTGCTTTGTCTGTTTAGTCATGAACACACTTGTTTGTAGAGCAAGTAGTTTAACAGTTTTTTTTTTCCGTTTATCATTCCTAGTAATTTCTCCCAACAGTTCTGAAACAATTGAAAAAACGAGCGCACTTCCACATTGAAGAATAAGGTCAATAGGGTTGGAGCTAAAATATGCTGGTCAGAGGCCTTCCAGGACCTGTGTGGCCATCTGTGAACTGTGTGGACTGGGATATGGGGTATATAAACTCTGTTAGGGTTCACTTCTAATGTGAACAGAATTATACTATTATTGGTATGAATTGGTGGTTATTCGTTTACTCACTTGGTTTCCTGACACACTGAAAGAAGATTTGACCTCATTTCTGCTTTCAGAATTAGCATTAAATGTATGATAAGTGTACATGTTCCATTTTATAATGGTGCTTACTTGGGAAACAAGCTGCGGTCACACTGCACTTTTCTCCCCATAGACTTCCATTTATACACACGCAAATATGTAAGACCGGAAACGGCAGCTCGTGCGACAAGTTTCGCAGTTCACTGCATTGAAAAGTTCAAGCTTGGTGAACTCTGCCCTGCAAAATCTCATCACATGATTGCGTGAGACCAATCGAAGGCCTCTCTGGATAGAAATTTAAAACATCGGTCAATTGCTTGCTTTTTTAGTGTCTAATCATTAGAGGTGTGAACCTATACTGGTCTCACGGTTCGGTTCGGTTACGATTATCATGCCTTCGATTCGGTTCAATTCGATATTTCGGTGCATTGACGATGCTTTCCATATACAGTGTTATATTTTAGAGGGGAGGCTATAACAAGCTGTCTGTATAAACACACAGACACACAGCACCACACTGTCTCTCATTCAAACACAAACATAGACAGCACCAAAGAAACAAACACACACACGCACACACACACTTAAGCCCTCGCAACAGGGAGAGCTCGCGAAGAGCGAAGCAGAAAAACGAAAAAAAAAGAAGCACTTTTCTGACGGTCCCTTGCTGAGAGCTCCTCTCAGCGCGAGCTATCCCGGCTAAACACATATTGCGAGGGCTTAAACGGAGCAGTGCTCGTAGTGTGAAGCGAAAAAAAAGAAAGACAGCTGTGAAACAACCAGCTTTGTCTTTTTGTATGAAACACACTTTAGATCTTTTTAGGGTAAGAGGTTTTTGAGTTATTGCCGTCTGTAACTGAATGTGTGTCAAGAATATCGAAAACAAAACCAACTTAACCGCGCTCATTTCTGGCGCCCCCTGGATATACAGCGCCCTTAGCATTTGCCTATGGTGCCTATGCCACAGGCCGGCCCTGAGTTGGCTGAGTGTTGTAAACACTCGCGCTTACCTCCTTTGCGACAGAGCGCACAGGAGATAAATGACGTCAGTACATAATAACCGGTTATGATTATTACTGAACTGATACCGAATTGTCCGCATCTGCATCGCGGTGCACCAAAGAAACAATTACTTTTGACACCCCTACTAATCATCTTGTTTAATCCCGCTCCTTTTCGCTGCGCAGTACAACCGAATCTTGCAGGCACAAACTCTAATGTGACCGCAGCATTGCAATTTTCAAAATAGTAAAATTAAACAAGAATTGATTCATTTTGACATCTACAGCAAAGATGCCCTATAGCAACAGAGCTACATCTCGGCTACTCCTATAACGCAAATGTACCACGGAACTAAGTACCACAATGTAAACACAATCTAGCATGAGCAAGGAAAAGGAGTGCCAATCAAACTCTGGTGGGGACCAGGCAATCAAATCAAGTGTGAAAGCACCCTTAGGGTTCAAACACAGCATGCACATGACTGATTGGAGTGCAGCTTGTAGTGTTTATGAACAAGATAAAGTAATGTGAAACAGAACAAAAGATTACTGAAGTATTAAACTCTTTCCAGAAGCTTTAAAGCACAGGTCTCAGCTTCGATTCCTGGAAGGCCGCAGCTTTGCAACCCTAATCAAACACAGCTGATCACACTAATCAAGGTGTTCAAGACTACTAGAGACTATCAAGCAGGTGTGAGTCGGAGCTGTTTGGAGCTAAACTGTGCAGAGCTGCAGCCCTCCAGGAATTGAGTTTGAGACCATTGCTTTAAAGGGATAATTTATTAAAAAAATGAAAATTTTGCAATTCATTTCTCACTCTCCAAATCTGTCAGAGTATCTTTCTTATGTTAAACACAAAAGAAAAGATTTTGAAGAGTGTTGGAAACCTGTGACCATTTTTATAGTATTTTCCCCCAGTATGGATGTCAGTGGCTACTAGTTTCCCACATTGCGTTTAACAGAAACTCAAATTTTGGAGCCACTTCAGGGCCAATAAATGGCGAGTAAATTATAATTTTTGGGTGAACCATCTTCTTTAAGCTCCACTCACACTTAGAATGACAAATGTAGTAGCCATATTAGTGTCCACATCAATGATAATCCTCTGTTTAATGTAAGCGCGCAACTTAAGCTCATTATAGCCAAGTGAATTCTGATTGGCTCAATGTTTCATCATTCATCAGCAGTATAAAAAAAGCTTAATATGATATTCTTTGACTGTGTAGTTATCTTTATAAGTGGCGTTTGATAGGTAGTGCGCTTAAATTATAGAAATATTAAAGCATTTAGGGTATCATCCTCAGTGTGAGTGGGCCTTCAAGAACAGATCTTGCTGAATGCATTTTAGCATTCAACTGTTTTAATCGTAATATTGTGTAAACCAGCACTAGATCTTTGAACTACATTTCACTGCTTTTATGAATGTACAGCACATAAGTGCCATATTTTTAAGATTTCACGTCAAGCTTCGTCATTTAAGAAGTGTGCCTCACCAACATGCTATTCTTAATTCTGCAGTGACGTAAAGGAGGCTCTCTGTGGTAATGGTCAGCTGATAAGAGCATAATGAATGTATGAGCTGTATCTCATTTAGAAGGCTGCCCTCTCTGAAGGTCACATTTTGCCATGTTATTTAAAAATAATTAATCATGACATTAAAAATAAAAACAGAAATTACTTGGATGAATTTACTATAGTTCACACAAAATAATCCACATTTTTATAATCACTGCTTTTCTAAAATTAGACCTACAGAGGGAATATCCTTTCCATATGAGACACAGCAGATTTACCTAATCATTGTGACAATACTGTATCATTCTTTCCAATGTTGTTGTACAAAGAAAGCTATGCGCTTCTGTCACAAGGTTGTTGGCATTTTGGGCTTTTCCCACTAGACCTGTGTATTGTGTCATTGTACTCGATCTTTACGACTGATAAACGTTTCATATTTGGATTAATGGTGAGCTTCTGTAACATGCTGATCTATTATTAATTACTACATGTGCTTGATAAATCTTTGTTGTAAATAATGATTAAATCTGTATGCATTAGGCTAGTGATTAAACATTTCAAAGCATGTTTTCCCTGCGTCTAACAACATGTGAAAAGTCAGACTGCTTGACATATTTCAGTCATCATGTCTGCTCAGACTACTTTTTGGCTTGTCATGCTAATAATAATTATTATACATCAAATGACTTGTTTTGGTAAATACACAACAGCCTGAGCTGTACATTCCCATTTCCCACATAACAGTGAGCTGAGATCATATAACATCAACATGTCATGTCTACTTCAGTTTAGATGTGCAGATGTTCTGGGTCAAGACAATAACAAATTCGACTTGATTAATTAGGCTGATAGGTAGTTACACTAAAATATACACCAAAACATACCTGTTTGAATGCAGCTTATAGTTTATTAGCGGTGAGAATAAACTATTTAAGGAGCATTTCTATTCTAGAGGAACAGATTGGCTTTGGCTTTGCTTAAATACAGTATTTGTACACTTTGTATAAACATAAGGCAACTGACTCAGATCTCATATTTCTAATTCATCTTTCATTTTTATCTGAATGTCAATGCATATGTATAAACTAAAATTAAAACAGCAGGATGAAATAAATTATAATATATATATGGGAAATCCAATTGGTCTAAAGGTGCATGATGATGCAAAAACATGACTTATTTAACACTCACTGTTCACTTTCTCATTTTCTCTTATTTGATACAACAAAATAATGACTTGATGGCTATTTGTTGTCTTAAATGAAATGAAAAAAATGTAATCAAGTTTTAGTAGTTGACATTTTAGAATTAGATAAAAAGAGAAGATTCAGGTGCAACCATATGAACATATGAAATATACACTTGTGATAAAACACTAAAAATCTCAAAGGAAATGTGTCTGCTCCTCGTGAACAAAACACAAGCGCCACTGTGTGGCAATAGTGAGGAATTGACCATTTCTGAGCATTCAATACAAACACTATGCACGATGAGGTATCCATTCTTTTCCTCAGGAAATATACTTGCTGAGTCTGAACTTGTTTTCAGGATTTGCATTACCAGAAAACGTCTAGGCCTGTTTACACTAGGCATTACGATGAGTTTTGTCCAAGAGATCACAAGTAGATAAAGTTTTCCACTTTTAATTACAAGCGTTTTTCACTTCCATGCTTTTTTTTTTAAGTATTTGCTTTTACTGATCTTTCAGTCTAATATTGTCAACTTGGATACTTTCATTTCTGCTCTGTAGGTTTGTGTCAGAACAAAAGAACATTGAGTTTTTATTTTACATTTTACTGCCTGCAAACCAAACGTTTAAATCCTGTTTTGCTAATGTGATTTAACAACACTTTAAAGGGCACCTATGATGAAAATCATCTTTTTTAAGCTGTTTAGACAGAACTGTGTGTAAGTAGAGTGTGTCCACTGTCATATTGGGGTGATATAAAGAAAATAAGCCTCTTTTTTTTTTTTTTTTTTTTTTTTTTTTTTTTACATTTTTGGACATTAAAATAGGATCCAAATCCCTCCCATTTTGAGGCCCACCGCAACTTGATGTAGGAGTGTGCGCAACGCAACTTGGATCAAAAAATCATCTTCAAATGTGATCAAGAATGAGTTTTATACGTTTAAAACGTTTTTAACACAGTGCATGTTTGCAATTTCTTTACTTTGTTTAAAAAAAGTCTTTACTTTATCAGCACAGCCGCATGTCAGTATAATTATAAAAGAAGACGCTTCAATCTGGATTGTCGACGTTAAATCAGGTTTATTTTGTACATTAACATAACGGATATACATACAGCAGTGGATATTAAAGTGTATCCTGTCACATTTGCGTGCAAAAACAATGCAAAGTTAAACGTGTGCGTTGTGTGTGCGTGTGTAAACTTTGTAACGACATTGTGTGTGATTCATTGTTCTCGTCAACTAATTATCTTCACAACAAATACATTGAATAATCATTGGGAAAGTTCTTACTGTAGTATTTCTCACAAATGTTACGTGAGATCTGCTTCCTTCCTGTCTATCATTGTGCTGTTTATCTGACACAGCCGAGGCGGAGATTGAGGCACACTCTGACAGGCATGTGGGAACGGTGGGTGGGGAGAACCAGCATTAAAGGCACGGGAAACAAAAACAGCTACATTGTGTTCAGAGCAGAAAATCCAGCATTCTGAAAGGTCTAATAAATAATCTCATGGGTGTTTTGAGCTGTACCTTTACAGACACATTCTGGAGACACAAAAGACTTCTCTTAAATCTTGAAAAAGGGATAAAATAGGAGCCCTTTTGATAGGATTGAACACATGAACGCACTCCAGTTTTCAACATCTTCCAGAAGTGCTCAACAGTTGACAAGCTCAAAATGCTTCAGTCCCCATTTGCACTTATATTCAGA